TGCTGTGTGTCTGAGGGTGCTGTCTGTGTCTGAGGGTGCTGTGTGTGTGTGAGGGTGTTGGCTGTGATTGAGGGTGCTGTCTGTGTCTGAGGGTGCTGTGTGTCTGAGGGTGCTGTCTGTGTCTGAGGATGCTGTGTGTATCTGAAGGTGCTGTCTGTGTGTGAGGGTGCTGTGTGAGTGAGGGTGCCGTCTGTGTCTGAGGGTGCTGTGTCTGAGGGTGCTGTCTGTGTGTGAGGGTGCTGTCTGTGTCTGAGGGTGTTGTGTGTGTGAGTGTGCTGTGTGTGTCTGAGGGTGCTATTAGTGTGAGTGTGCTGTGTGTGATTGTGCTGTGTGTGAGGGTAATGTGTGTGAGATCTCTTAGTGTGAATGTAAATATGTTTATATAAATATGTATTATTTTTTTTAAACAAAACTTTATATCCCCGCCCCTCCCTTCTTACGTTTAGCCTGGGGGGGGAGGGAGGAGGAGCCGTTCTGCCATGGAGTGGGGAGCCATGCTGCCTTCCCTGGTGGTCTCAGTGGTGAGAGTGAACTCTAGCCTGCAGGGCTAGAGTTCACTCTCGCGAGATCTGAGCATTGCAGTGGTAACTGTGGCAATGCTCAGACCTCGCAAGAGGAACCCGGTGGGGCTGCTGGCTAAAGCTCCCCTCTCCTGCCTCCCTCCCCAGCCGGCGACCGCATATCAGTGCCTCTGGGCTGGTGAGGGAGATCTTTGATCTCCCCACTGGCCCATGAAGGCACACAGCAGGGCTGGCGCTTGGATACCGCCTGCTCTGCATGGGCCGACCAGTGGCGGATCCAGGGGGGGGGGCAACGGGACAATTGCCCCCCCCGAGAAATCCGACAGTCTCCCTCTCCCCTGCCAGCAGCACATGCAGGTGCTAGCCCTGCAATGTGCCTGCGGACCGGAGGGGAGATCACAGATCTCCCTCCCCGGTCCACAGGCACTGTGCTGGCGGCCGGCGGGGGAGGGAGAGGGAGTGAGAGAGAGGACCCGGAGCTCAGGCTGCGGCTCCTCCGGGTCCTCCTCTCGCGAGATTTGGAGCGTTGCCGCGGTTACCACGGCAACGCTCCAAATCTCGCGAGAGTGAACTCTAGCCCGGGAGCGCGGGCTAGAGTTCTCTCTCACCACTGGACCACCAGGGAAATGGCCACCCTCCCCCCAGTAAAGGTAAGAAGGGAGGGGGGACATAGAATATTTATATTAAAAATTCAAATAAAAAATATATATTTAAAAAAAAAAGCCCCCCTACCCTTATCACACACACACACACTTTACACACATACACTGATCCCCATACTGCCCCCATACACACATTGCCCCATACTGCCCCCCCCATACACCCACCATTACAACCCCCCCATCCCTACATACTGCCCCATACATACCTTTACATACACACACTGCTTATACTATACACACTTTATACCATACCTTTATACACACACATTGCCCCAGCATACCCTTGCACCCCAGCGCACACATTGCCCCCATACACCCATACTGCCCCAGCCACACACTGCCCCCAGCACCATACTTACCCCCATACACACACACATTGCCCCCCATACACCCATGTGCCCCCCCATGCACCCATACTGCCCCCATACACTGCCCCCATACACACTGCTATACACACACACCCTTCCCCCCATGCACTCTACACACATACACTGCACCTGCCACCACCCCCATACACACTGCCCCCATACACACACACTGCCCCATGCACCCATGCTGCCCCCCATGCACACTGCCCCCCCATACCCATACTGCCCCCATACACACATTTGCCCCATACACCTTCTGCCCCATACACACACTGCCCCCATACACACACACTGCCCTATACACACCCCCCCATACACACACAAACTGCCCCATACACACACCTGCCCCCCCTTTACCTCTACACATACACTACCGATGCACACACACACTTTCAATCCCCCATACACACCATTTGCCTGCCCCATACACACACACTGCCCCCATACACACACTCTACACACATACACTACCCCCATACACACACTGCCCTGCCCCATACACCCATACTGCCCCATACACCTGCCCCCCATGCACACACACTGCCCCCATGCACACACACACTGCCCCCATGCACACTCTGCACATACACTGCCGATGCACACACACTGTCACCCCAGCACACACATGCTGCCTTTTAACCCCCATACACACACACTGCCCCCATACACACACTCTGCACACACATACACTACCCCCATACACACACACTGCCCCCCATACACACACACTGCCCCCCATGCACACACTGTCCCCCATACACACACTCTACACATATACACTACCCGATACACACACACTGCCCCCATACACTGCCGCCCCATACACACACATACACTGCAATACTCACACACACACTTCAACTGTTACACACACATACTGTCCCATACATACACTGCCGCCCTCATACACACACTGCGCACACACTGTCCCCCTCACACACACACACACACACACACACTGCACCACTCACACTCACCACTGCTCATATGCCCTACTACTGCCCCATTTCCCAGCAGACCTCAGGTAAGTTGTCAAACTGTTCTTAAACGGTTTGACTACTTGCTCTGGGAGGGGGTCCCGGCACTATTGACACCATAACCACTACACTGAGCTGTAGTGGTTATTGTGTCTGGATTATTTCTTTAAATAATCTACAAGTGCCCCTCCCGAGATCAGGCTCTGGATCCGCCACTGGTCACATTCTATGTTTCTATGTTACTTTCCTACCGTAACATACATACACAATGTCACACACACATGCGTGGTGGCGTCACAGTCGGACATTGAGAATCATTGTATTCAATGATTCCGTATAGAGGAATCGTAGGTGCAACGCTATGAGGGGCATTGGATTGGCCCGTCATCCTGGAAGCGTGCAACCACAGAAGTAGGTCGCGTCCAGGTTGGACAAAATTTACATTGATTATGCAGAACTGTTAATTCTACATTATGAAGGCTGCCGAGAGTGGGGCGATCCCTCTGCACTGGATAGAATCCAGTTTATATAAAACTGTTCTGAATCAAATTAATTGTAAACTCAGAGACTGCACCAGAGAGCTGCAGAGGTTATGTGTTACTTTAAGAAAATAGGAATTCCAAAGATGCTGCCAAGCTAACTGGCCATTTGTGGAGCATATAAATTCCCCATTATTATATGGGCAATTGATATCTTCATATAACTTATCCTGTTTCCTTTACTTTATTAAGTGATAGAATTGAACATGAAATCATTGGCACTTCAGCTCCAATGGACAACAATTCCCATGAATTCTAACCAGCAGATTGGGCACATATCCACATGAATCCTATTAGACTCCACAGGTTAATTTTGGATGAATAGATTCGTCCAGGTGTAGATTTACAGGAAGTCTACTAGCCAGCCCTATAACAGGAATTATAATATTATTATTAATATTTATAACCAATTTTGCAGCGTTGTACAATGATAAGAGTTGTCTATCTACAGGGATATTCACTCAACTCCAGAATAAATCTGAATTGCAAAATTAGGACTAAAGATAACGACCTGTAAGAATAGCTGAGTTGGATAATTTTCCAAATTAGCTATTTAAGCCTCAAATTTACCATTACAATTTTTATTTACTGCAATTCTGCGTTAAGTGAATAGCCCTGCTTATGTACAGGAAGCTTTCATCTTAGCGAACTCCTCTAGCCCACTTTTCACAAGTTTCTGTGGACTGCAACAAAACGTCAAAACCTGAGAATTCTATAAAAAATGTTTTTTATTGATCTTAATACAGAAATCAAAACCCATAATCAGAGGGACAATCAGAAATTCTGCTGGAGGTGGTCTCCGGCACACACTTATAAGGCAAAAACTTTAAGAAAATGTTGGACCATTTATGTAACATCTCGTGATTCTTAGATCACCTTTAATTAAAATAGTTTTGGCACAGCGTAGCAATTGATGATTTATCCTACCCCCTTATCATCTAAACATCTGCTGGTTTCCCCCTTCATATTTGCAAGCATCAGCAATATAAAATGTATTCTAAATCTAGACATTAATACCACTAACACTATATGGAACTTTGAACCTGCACCCATTGGGCACTTGAAATAAAAAAATATGAATAAATAAACAAAAACCGACATGCGCACATTAATTCTGACCACATGCCCTCTAGCTATCGCCCTCTCTCCCCTTCTCCTTTCAGTTCCTGTTAGTTCTTCAGTCTTGCCACAGTTATACAAACACAGTCAATGTTCTATACAAGGGTTAGGCAATCATCGGCACTCCAGATGTTGTGAACTACATCTACTTTGATACGTTTCCAGACGTTTGCCTGTAAAAGCATTATGGGTGATGTAGTCCAAAACATCTAGAGCGCCAAAGGTTGTTTATCTCTGTAAACCTACAAGATTCCGGTAATAGCAATAGAGGTAAAATATCAATCTGAGTTCAAAATAAAAAAAAATTAAGCATTTTCAGGCTAAAATGGAAGCACTTAGGCTGCAGAAGCCATGAAAGTATATGATTTGCGAACACCTTGTAGCGTTAATCCACGTATTTAAATTAGAGGCAGCTGGTGTCTTACAATATACAGATGAAAGAGTGCTCTACATGATTCCGTGCAACATGTATTGAGACCTCATGTACATACAAGACATTACAAGATGAATCTGATGACACCATTAACATTGCACTTTCAAACAGAATAAACAAACTATTACCTGCTGCCCAAAGTGGCCTATCAGCAAAGATCACTTTCTTTGGATTAAACGGCATATATGCACAAGGCACAGATCACAGGTTATAAATTAACCCTATTGTTTTCCCGATAAGAGCAGTTCAGTCAATATATTCTAAGGTAACAGCTGATTCGTTGTTAAGTAAACAAAGACCTCTCCATCTGGAGTGATGCGGTGAATGACTTTTCCATCTGGTCCGGTGGCCATGGAGCAGAATAAGTTACTAGTCACGGCCATGGCTGCCGGCACTTGTCAGAGGTTAATCAGGTAGCATGGCATTATCTCAGCGTCAGTTCAGTCTGGTTTAGAAGTGCAAATCAGAAGCCATCAATACTGGTTTACCAAGAAATGTCAAGAAACTTGAAAAGCAGATATTCTTATTTAAAGTGCGTCTATATTTCTACTGCTGCAATTAAAATATTATTTTTGTTTTTTTAAAATAATTTTTATCAATAAAGCGCCAACATGTCCCACAGTGCTGTTCAGTAGTTAGTAGACACATCCATTTGGTTTTAAATGAATTGCAATTCGAATTTTAGGCAACTGGAAATTTGTTGCAATCCTGAATAATTACAACTTTTGAGGCCTAAAATGTGAAAATTGGAGTGGAGCTTGAAAGCCAACTGTGTAAGATGCAGGCTGGATGAACTTCTCAACAGAAAGCCATAAATAAGCGAATATTCAGTGTTTTGTCATTATCTATTGCTATGTATTTGTTAATATTACTTGGAGACACTTTAATCCTCAGGCAAATTATTTTAGACTCTCCAACATTTTTCCATTTTTAACTGCGGCCTGCTGGCCAGTCGGGAAGGCAACCGATTTCCAACTCCTGACAAGCCTTGCATTGTTGGAATCCATGCCCCCCATTCCCCTTTGACATGTTTTGTACGAAGTATGTGTGAGTAAATGTAGGGGTGTGTTTGCATGTAGTGTTGGCATTTAAATGCCAACATGCCTTTTTGGTATAGTGTGGTTTTTAATATGGTGGTGTGTTTTTATGTAGTGTTGATATTTGGATGCAGGGGTGTATTTGTGTGTAGTGTTGGCACATATACACATATACTCAAATATACACACACTGTCACACATGCAGATACATAGACACACAGGTATATGCATGCAGATACATAGAAACACGGTCATGCACAGATACAGACAAACACGAACACACATACAGATAGAGACAGACAGATACAAACACACATATATACACACACTCACACACTTACAGACACACACTGAAACACATATACAGAGACACATAGGCACAGGCACACATACAGATACACACACATACAGATACACTGACATACAGATACACTGACACACAGATACAAGCACTGAGACACAGATACAAACACAGCCACACAAACATATATACAGACACACAGGTATAAGTGTGTTTGTTTATTGTATGCAGTGTGTATTTGTGTAGTGTATGCACCTACCTTCCCCAATACACCACTGCCTGTATTCCCACTAAAAGATCATGTGTGCTGGCTGCCTCCCAGTGCTTGGGGAAAGACATATTCCTATGTACAATCCTTCGTACTTCCTGTTGTTGTCTACAGGAAAGTTTTGGACTATAAATTCTCATTGACCGTGTGAGATTGATGATAATGATTCATTTTGCATCTGGGTTTCCATGCTCAATGACAAACGGGGACAACATTCTATTACCCTACCAGAAAAGTGAGCAAGTTTAGCCCCATTCCACACCAGTACCATAGATTCCTACTTTCCTATCTATGACAACAAGAGATGGATAGATAAATAGATAGACAGACAGACAGACAGATTTTATAAATATCTATATTTTTTCTAATTTTTTCATTTATCTTTTTTTTGCAGTTGACTTGTTATTTGCTGATTCTCCTGCCTCAAGCGATTGTTTACAAGCGGAGAAGCTTTGCCTGGAGGACGAGCCGTGTAATTCCAGTTACCATGATTTGAGGCACTGTTCACATGTGAGTACAGCCGAACCAGTCAATAAAACCCGATGTCTTCAAGCAGAGGTGGCCCTGAAACAGTACCCCTTGGTGGGCTGCAAGTGCAAGCGCCGCATGAAGAGAGAAGAGCACTGCTTGAACGTGTACTGGGCAGTAAACCCAGTTAATGTACAAGGTGAGTGGTGAGTCCCTGTCCTCCGTTCATGTTTCGAATCACTTATTGATTTGTTAATATAGCTCAAACCAGTCCTGTCATCAAACCATTTTGAACGACTACCTCTACAAATCTTAGCCAAAATGATAGAGGAACCATTATTCTTTGGGCTTGTAGAGTGAGCCCATGAGCGGCAGGTGGGGGCCCCTAGTGAAAATAGGGGGTGGAGAACCTATTGTCCAGCCCCCTGGCCCCCACCCATGAGTGGTGGGTGAGGGCCCTAAATGAAAATGGGCCTTATTGTCCGTCCGTCCCCCCACTCAGCCCCAGGATTGTAGAGTGTGGTTGGCCAGCTATGTTGTGGACATTGGTCCTATTGTATTTCTATTGAGTATCAGGGTTTGCACCACTGAACAACCCTAAAGATTCTACTGTTGTGCTATTGGTTTTTTTTTTCTTGGGGGACATGCTGTGTTTCACCTGCTCCATACACCACCACCAATAGGAATCTGTTTATGCTAAATCTTTGATTGCATTTGGGCGTTAGGATTTAGGAACTGGCGTTTAGAAGTTAAGAGAACCGAGTTTGGTTGAAGGACTAAGAAAAAAAATATATATATACTTTTTATGTTACCTGAATTACCCCACATCCTAAATACTAAAATTATTACGAAGAAAACCCCAAAGCCAAACGAACATAAACAAAACCTTGAAGGCAAAATAAAGATGGATTTTTCTGACAATCTGAATGGAGCACTTTTTCATGTTTTTACTAATATGTTTGTTCTTGTTTTTATTTTTTTATCCAATTATTTTGTCTCTAAGTCACAGTTTCACTTAAACTACAATAAATGTGGTTATAAATCAGTCTGTGTAAGTAAGATACATTGTTCTTGCTCTAAATCACATTTTAGCTGTATAATTTTTTTATTAGAATGTCAAGTAACATTGTTCAGAGCCACACTCCCGTTCACACTCCTAAAATTTAGGGTCCCTTGTTATCTGTTCTCCAGTGAGAATTCCAAGTGAATTTCAAATTTAAGGTCAAAATAGCCAAACTGGAAAATTTATCTAAGTCAGCCATGCTTCCAGTTCAGCTACTCTGGCCTTTAATTTGAAATTTACTTTGAATTCTCACTTTATTGAATAACCCTGTAAAGTAGTTTTTGCTGCTGCCCTAGTTAGTTGTGTAAACCTTACATATTCACTGTTCATTGTGATGGTTATTTTGTGGTTGTTCACTAAAGTAAGAATTGTCAGGAATTCAAAGTGAATTTACATTCCTCCCCCCAAAAAATAGCAGAAACAGAAAAATCCATAATAGCTATGTTTTCAGTTTGGCCATTTTGGGTTAAAGAGACACTTTAGGCACCCAAACCACTTCAGCTTCTTGAAGTGGTCTGGGTGGTGCATAGTCCCAGGTCCCTTAACCCTCCAAAGGTAATTATTGCAGTTTTTAATGATTTTTTGTCTTACTAAATAAAGTAAAATATCACTTGCATGCAAATCTGCAGCTCCTGCCTCTGCCCCTGATCTGCTTCCTGTCTGCTGACATCATCAGAAGTTGTGGTCAGAGCCAATCACAATTCTTCCCTATAAGATTGGCTGAGACTGTCAAGGAGGCAGATCAGGGGCAGATCCAGCACAAGTCAAACACAGCCCTGGTCAATCAGCATCTCCTCATAGAGATGCATTGAATAAATGCATTCTATGGGGAAAGTTCAGTGTCTGCATGCAGAGGATTGAGACACTGAATGGCAGTGCTGCACAGTGTGCAGCCGTGCCCCAGGAAGCACCTCTAGTAGCCATCTGAGGAGTGGCCAGTGGAGGTGTCCCTAGGCTGTAATGTAAACACTGCATTTTCTCTGAAAAGACAGTGTTTACAGCAAAAAGGCTGAAGGGACTAATTCTACTCACCAGAAAAAATGCAATGAGCTGTAGTTGTTCTGGTGACTATAGTGTCCCTTTAAGTGTTACAACATTGCTATTCTGCTAACTAGAAATTAGTATTAAATCAATAATAACACATTTTATTTGGAATTACAACATCCCTTAAAAATTCTCAGTGTATATGATGATGCTTACGAAACAGGTATGAACTCGCTGCAAGCACTGATAATTGGATTCATAGTATAAACAAAATTAAATAGTGTATCTCATGAAGCAGAAATATAAATGAATGCAGTTAAATGCAGAAGTTTGCCCTCACTAAAAGTTGATGTAACATGGGAGGTTTCATTTATCCTAAATAAACTTTTAATAAATTAACCATAAGGGGTGTTTAATTCATTCTATAGCCCCAGGAGTATTGCCTCTGCCTCTGCCTTTAACCCCTTAAGGACCAAACTTTTGGAATAAAAGGGAATCATGACATGTCACACATGTCCTGTGTCCTTAAGGGGTTAAAGAAACACTCCAAGCACCATAAGCACTATAATTAGCTGAAGTGGTTTTGGTGCCAGGAGTGCCCTGGCTACCACCATATTTTTTCTAACAATTTGACTTCCAACTTGGGGTCCAACAGGAGTCACTTCCTGCTGTCATTAGTAATGCTGAAATACCTTGCTTAGCTGATTGGCTGAGAATGATCCACTGATGCTATGGAATGTTAGGTTACAAAAACAGAAACAACAGCTAGCGCTGACCAAGTTCTTCAGCATCCACATGCAGCCTACCCTTTCTTTTCCTGATAGTAAGGAGTGAAGTTGTGAAGATTATATAACTAAAAGAGGGGGAATTGCCACAAAATACCCCCCTTCCCCCCAAAAAAACAGTTGAAAATTGTGTGCTGTAGTCTATGACTCATTTTGAAGACTTTGCCTTTTGAACCAAGAAATTACCTGAGTTTATTAAACAACTTTATTTTTTTTCAATTTGACAATTTTTATTGGGTTTTTTTTTTGGTTTGCGTGGGGTACAGAAGAAAGAAGGGATAGGGTTGTAGCATCATCACCATCGTACAGTTCCCATCAGTATATTACATTGTTGTACATGCTTGCCTAACAATAAACAATGAACAACCTGGTTTATCTAGAAACAACCATAGTAACCATCATCGTTAATCGCCTTCCGGCGAGATTTGTGTCAGATCCTGCCATCTATCTAATGTTGTTTGCGTGATTTGGTCCGTCTTTCTGCCTCGGTTGTCTATGCTGCCCCTTGTTCTGGGACTTCTTTGGTCTCGGTGCTCCTAGGAGCGCACCTGGTGAGTGCAGTGAGGTTGCTGCTAGGGGGGGGAGGTGGTTAGATAGGGGGGGGGGGGGGAATGGGGGGGGATTTGTTATTTTCCCTGGCTAGCCCCAGAAGAGTTCTCTGTCAAGTCTCGTGAGCCCTGAGGCTTCTTGGTTCTTTTGTGCGCCTGTTGTGTGGTACCAGTACTGCAACATGCTATCTGGCGGCTAGCGGATGTTCTATCTGTCTCCTTTTGTTAATATTGGGTTTCAACTAACTCAACTATGTACAGTGTGGGTGTCCTCTCCCTTAGTCCTGTCCTGTCCTTTAAGGGTTGTGTGTGCCCTTCCTTATATAGCTGTGGCCGCCTCCCTTGCTGCTGAATCTCTGCTGTCTGCTATTGTGTTGCTAACTGGTTCCTACCCCTGCTTTCCTTGTCGTGTCTCGCTAGGAAATTTTCCCACTTCTGTTTGGCTCCCGTCCTATATTCCTGTATTGTGAGTCCTGTGTGTATCCTTGTCTCGTAGTCTATGTTCGTTGTGATTTGTTGGATCACTGCGTCTATGCTCGGGGTTTCTGTCTGTTTCCACGCTTTTGCTATGTGTAAGTTTGCTGCGATTAGGATGTGGAACATTAAGAAAGCTTGGAGTTTTGGGAGATTGTCTAAGGTCATGAAAAGGAGTCCACATTCCGGCTCTATTTTCCCCGCTTGTTGTAGAGCGATTGCAATTATGTTGCTTATTTCCTCCCAATAATCTGTGATAAGAGGGCACATCCACCATATGTGGTACATCGTTCCTTCCTCCCTCCCGCATCTCCAACAATTCTTAGACGTGTTGGGGTAGATAGACGCTAGTCTGGAAGGGACCATGTACCATCTGTATTGTATTTTACGGATTAATTCTAAGTGGGAAGCGCATCTAGACCTTCCTCTGTGTGCTATAAACGCGTTTTGCCAGAGTTCGTCTGTCAATGTTTTGCCTATGTCTGATTGCCACATTATTTGGAATTTCTCTCTACCCTCGCTTGGGGGGTCGGACATTAGTTTGTATAAGGTGGAGAGCAGTTTGGGTGGTACCTTCCTGGTTGTGCAAATTCCCTCAATGTTCTTTGCCCTTTTAGGTGTGGTAACCTCTGTGTCATGTTCCAGGAGTGACTTGAGTTGGAGGTATGAGAACACGGATTGTGGCGGTAGGTCGTAACTGGTCTGGAGGTCTGGGAATTGCATTAGGGTGGTATTATGGAAAAGATGTTTGACTAACGTGCACCCGCCTCTTTCCCATGGTTTGTAATTAAATGATGGGTTAGCTATGTGTATGCTCTGTATCGGGGTTGCTAAAGACCAGTGTTTCGTGTATCCCAGTTGGGTTCTCGTGGTATCCCACGTCTTTAGTAGGAGTGTTGTGGTATCGGGTAAGTCCGTGATTTTGGGGCGTAGGTGGTGGGGCAACCAGATTAAGTGGTGTAACCCTTTTGGGCATGTCCACTGTGATTCTATATCTACCCATTGCGGTCTATCTTCTACTTTGTGTATCATCAGCACCGTGGTTATTAGGGACGCTTTGTAGTATGCACTCACATCCGGTAGTCCTAAACCCCCTGCTGTCACTGGTTTTCGTAGTATTTTGGTCGATACTCGTATTCTGCGGTTTGCCCATATAAATCTGTTTAGTGTTTGTTGGAGTTTTTGTAGAAACTTGTTAGGCAGTGGTATCTGTAGAGTGCGAAACAAGTATTGCAGTTTGGGCATTACCATCATCTTGATGGCCGCAATCCTGCCTACCCAAGACAGGTATTTGTCCTCCCATGTTTGTAAGGTGGCGATTATCTCGCTCTGTAATCTTCCGTAGTTGTGTTCACGGAGTCTGGCTATTGTTTTAGTTATTCTTAGGCCTAAAAAGGTAATGTAATCATCCCTCCAATCGAGGGGGAATGTGGCTTTTAGGTGTGCTGTTGTGTGTCCTGGTACCCCTATCCCCATTGCCTGTGTCTTTGTGACATTAAGCTTGTAGTATGACTGGTCACCATACAGTCGGATCTCCTTCAGCAGGTTTGGCAGTGATATTAGGGGTTGTGTGAGTGTAAGTAGGATATCGTCCGCAAATAGGTTCGCTTTGTATTCCTTACCCCCCACTCTCACCCCATGTATAGAAGAGTTTTCCCTAATTTTCACCGCCAGGGGTTCTAGGGCCAGTACATAAAGCAGTGGGGACAGGGGACATCCCTGTCTTGTCCCGTTAGTGAGCTTAAAGGGATCAGATAGGAATCCGGAGTTTAGTACCTGTGCTGTTGGTGCTTTATATAAGGCTTTTATTACTGCCACTATCTTGTCTGGAATCCCAAACTTCTTCAGAGTCTCTTGTAGGAATCCCCAGTGCAGACGGTCGAAGGCCTTTTCTGCATCTAGGGAGACCAGGATCCCCCCTTCGGTGTGATTACTTATCTCGTGTAGTAGAGTTATGACCTTTCTGGTATTATCAGACCCTTGCCTCCCCTTGATGAATCCTACCTGGTCGTTGTGTATTATGTGGGGTAACACGGATCCCAATCTCTTGGCGTAAATTTTTGCTAATAATTTCGCGTCCGTGTTGAGAAGTGATATGGGTCTAAAGTTCTGTGGTGTTGTTGGTGTCTTGTTTGGCTTCGGGAGTGTCACTATGTGCGCTAGCAGTATGTCATTAGGGAGAGACTGGTTGATTATTGCTTCATTAAATGTTTTAACCAGTTGGGGTGCTAGGATCGACTGGTAGGTTTTATAGTAGGTGTTGTTAAAGCCGTCTGGGCCTGGTGCCTTTCCGTTAGGCAAGGAGTTTATCGTATCTATCATTTCCTGGGTTGTGATTGGGTTATTGAGTATGTCCTGCTGCTGCGTTGTCAGCGTTGGTAACTGAACTCCCCTTAGGTAGTCTGCAATTCCCCGTGTATCCGGTTGTGTAGTGGCGGCATTATCTTTGAGGTTATATAAGTCCGAATAATACCTGGCAAATACATCGCTAATGTCTTTCGGGGTTGAGGCTTTTGTCCCTTTGTGGTCTAGTAAATGGTGGATCTTTTGGTTTGTTTGCTTCAGTTTTAGGCGGAGTGCTAATAATTTGCTGGCTTTATTGCCCTGAACGTAGTTCGTCGTTCTCAGTTTGGTCATGTGTCTGTTGACCTGGTCTATGGCTTGTTGGTGTATGAGCCTCGCTATGTGGGTTATGCGTTGTTTTGTTGCAATGGTGGGTGTAATTTGGTTTAGCGTGTTTAAGTCATATAGTTCCTTTTGCCAACCCTTAAGTTGTGTTTGTGTTGTTTTCTTTATGTACGCTGCTCTCCTAATCAATAGGCCTCTCATGACAGCCTTATGGGCTTGCCACAGTGTTGTGGCTGCGATACCCCCTGTGTTATTGTCCTCAAAGTAAGCCCTCATCTCTTCTGCCAGTTCCCCTTTAAAATGTCTGTCTAGCAGTAGTGAGTCATTTATTTTCCAGGGGCTACGGTGCTTAAAGTCATAATTATCTTTAAGCTCTAGTGTTATCGGAGCATGGTCAGACCACGTTATTTGGCCTATGTCGCAGGACTGCGCTTGATTCAGATGGGAACCTGATATCAGGATGTTGTCTATTCTGGAGTATGAGTTGTGGACCGGGGAGTAGTGTGTATATGCTTTTTCGTCAGGGTGCGTGATTCTCCAGGTGTCATACATGTGATGTGTGTGTAGGAGTCTTTGTATGGCCTTGCATTGTCTTTGTAGAGGTCGGTGACTACGGCTTTGTGGGGGCAATGTGGTATCCAGTTTCGGGTCTAAGATATGGTTGAAATCGCCGCATAGTATTGTAATGCCGTATTGAATATTCGCTAGTTTGTGAAGGATTTTGTGTAGAAAGTTCCTTTGATTGACGTTGGGTGAATATATATTGGCAATCGTGTACTCCATGTCATTTAACGTGCCTGACACTATGGCATATCTGCCGTTTGGGTCTATATCTTGGTTGTGAAGGGAAAATTTGGTGTCTTTGCTTATCAATATTGAAGCCCCTTTCGACTTCGTAGTGGAAGTGGAGTGGAATTGGTGTGGGAAATCTGTAAGCATCGATTTAGGAAAATCCTCTTTGCGGTAGTGGGTCTCTTGCAGACATAGAATATCAGTGCGGATTGTTCTGAGTTCACGGGCAAGGAGGTGCCGTTTTGCGGGGACATTCAGTCCTCGCACATTATATGTGCATATTCTCACGGTGGTTGTCTGGTGTGGGTGTGCATGTTAATTGTGGAAGCGTGTATAAGTGCGGGGGTCCCTGCTCGTCCCAGCCTAGTCCAGCTGAACAGGGAGATCCCTAATGTAGATTGTGCTGCACCCTTCAGTGTAGTGGGCGGACAGTGGTCTTGTCTAGCTTGTGCTGTAGGCATCAAGTTTTGGGGGAGAGGTTCGGGGCTACCCACAAGCCCTATAATGTATACAACAACACTTGTACATAAAACAGAACATGTAACGATCAAAAACATTAGCAATATAAACTTCTGAACCATTTTAGTGTGTGCCTCTAATTCGGCTTGGCACTGATTGTATGTGCCGTGGGGGTTGAGGCAACTACCTCTGTCCTATGGGAGCTCCCTCTCTCAAGCGCTTCTAAGTGGTGCTTATCATAATGAAACCCTGCGTCCAGTTACTTTTTTTTTTTTTCCTTCTTCTTCTAAATACTACAATTCCCTCTCCCGTTTTGTGCTACTCCTCCCTGTTATGCCCTGTGCACTCCTCCACTTGGGCCCTGTGTTGCTAATCATATCTCAACGTATTTGTCCCACAGTTTGCTTAGCAATGGGGCGATCAGTGCATCGCGTATCGTGAACGTGCTAGGTCTTACTAGGGCGAGGCTTCCCTCAGGAAATCTATCTTCGGCTAGACCGTTAATGTTTCCTTCCACCTCCCAAACAGTTTCCCAGCCCCTCCCGTTGTCAAACGGTACATTACCCAATCGATGTGTCATAGTTCGTGCTAGTAACTGTTATTGCAAGGCATATAGCTGTGGTGGTTAGTGCCGGTCTGCAGTCTCTCAAGTATTCCTATCTTCTCTTGGTTTTCTTCCACTCCGGGGAGATTCTGGGTACCTTTGGGTCATCTTGGGTGTTCGTCGCTGGAGATATGTCCCAGGTTTTCAAAATTCGTACCCCTTCTTCAGGTGTGGTGATTACCGTTGTCTTCCCTCCTCTAGTTACTAAAAGTTTAGTGGGGTATCCCCATCTATACGGCAGTTTGTGGTCTCGCAACGCCACCGTGATGGGTCTAAAATCTCTCCGTCGTTTAAGGGTATAGGCTGAAACGTCTGCATAGATGACGTGGTTTTTGTATTCGGCTGGTAGCGTTTTACCTGCTCTGTTGGCCGCCAGAATGGCCTCCCTGGCATGGAAGTAATGTAGCCGCAGGAGTATATCTCGGGGGGTCTCTGGTGGCAGAAATGTGGGCCTCGCCGTGCGGTGGATTCTGTCCATGAGAAGTGTGTCCGCGGGCAAGTCAGGGGCTAGATGTTTAAGTAGGCCTGTGACATGCGCGTTGAGGTCTGCCGTGCTCACCGTCTCAGGTACCCCCCTAATTCGCAGGTTGTTCCTGCGTGCTCTATCTTCCATATCTGCTATCTTCATGTCCTGTGCTAGTACTTTCGCTGACAGCCCCTCCAGTTTGTCTGCCAGAGCATTGTGGGCTTCTGAGATCCCCTCCATTTTAGTTTCTATGTGGGATGTTCTGTGTCCCTGTTCTTGTACCTCCTTTCTGAGGTCTTTGAGTGCAGTATCCAGTTTTTGGAGGAGTTTGTCAGACATTTCATCGAGGAGGTGTTTCATCCTGCTGTGGGTGAGTGGAGGTTCTCCTTCCTGGGGCTGTGTGTCAGCCTCCTGATCGCTGTCGGCGCCATCTTGGGCCGGGTCTGGCGGCTGCCAGTGTTTGCCTTGTGCGGATCGCGCCGCGAAAAAATTTGATTTTTCCTGTTTCTCCGTGGTCCGTTTACTTTTGGGTTGCGACATATCGGCTGCAGGTCGGGTTGTGTGTATTTTGCTACGGGTTAATTGCTCGTAGAAGCCCGCTTGAGCGGAGCTCTCAGCTCATGCGACTTGTTCGCTCGGCGTCCAGGACACGCCCCCCTTATTAAACAACTTTAAAGGGACACTACAGGCACCCAGACAACGACATCTCATTAAAGTGGTCTGGGTGCACTGTCCTGTCCCCTTAGCCCTGTGATGTAAAAGATTTTAGATAAACTGCAATGTTTTCATTGCAGGGTAAAGCCTACCTCTAATGGATGTCTTCCAGATAGCCACTAGAGGCACTACCTTAATTCTGTGAAACGATGTTGGACATCCTTGCATGAGGATATCTAAAATCTTCAAATTCTCCTTAGGAATGCATTGATTCAATGCTTTGTGTAACGGCACCCCCAGGCACACAAGGGGTTAAACAGCCGTTTAGAGGATATTCCCTTCCAGATACACAGGCAGCTCCTACAAGCACCAATCTCCCGAACAGGAAACACACGAATTCTCCAACTCCCGAACTGGAAACACACGAATTCTCCAACTCCCGAACCGGAACCATACGAATGCTGTAAGCAGCCGAACAGGAAAAACCATACGAGCAGTTTACACGCCTGGCAGTCGAACTGTAACAGCATACAATCAAATCCCCCCAAGAATGAGACAACACTTCGTTTGAGGGTCAAGCAGTGATCTGTTTAATCTGGGCTACCTGCCCGGTATTTATGCAGGTTTCCCACCTGGTGGGACACTGGAACACAAACTGGACAGTAACCAATCAGGACAGTTTAACCTTAACCACTCCCACATGCACATTGTAATCCCTCCTCTCTATCCTGGAGATAATTGGGAAGTAATCCAATTATCTCCAAGGACAGAGGCAAAACTCCATTAGCCACATGTTAGTAAAAAGACATAAAATTACACAGTGTTACAATTACTAAATAAAACATATACATTCAACATATCTCCAGATAGCTTAGATCTGAGCGCACATTATTACTGAATGGCGCTCAGATCACATACATACAGTTCAATCGCCTTGGAGCCAAAGTCTTTCACATAGTGTTTCGTTACATGAATGGGCTCCATGACATAGCTATCTGGGGTAACACTGCTCACATAGGGAAAGTACCGAACGGACGGCGTTCGTATGAATTGCAGGAGAAGGGAGGTTTAAGATGGCCGCTGCCACGTGTTCGGTTATACGAACAGCGGCCACCCAGCGTTCACCAATTAAGCTGCAGTTAACCGCAGCTTCTGGGAGGTAAATCACTGGCACACTCCTTTCCCAGGTGGTCCCCCGATTTGTGCGTTGGTTCGGTAGATTCAATCTACCGAACGCCCAGCCAGAAAGGCACGAACAAGCCTTTCTAAAGGGGAAAATAACAGCGTTTAACATGGGGCCATAGTCCAGAGGGAGCAGGCAAGCAACCAGGCTTCTCCAGTGCCCAGTGGCGAGGTTGGTTCCGCCACACTTTGCTATTGGGAAGTTTTGAAGCCATGCATGCGCATTAGATTCCCAGACCGCTAAGACGTCGCAGGAGGAGAAGACCTAGCCAGGGTCAAGGGAGCCTTGGTGCTGGAATAAAGGCAAGTTTAAAAAACTTTTTTTTACTCTTTACTCACCGGGAGGAAGCAAGACATACAGAAATAGGGACAGGGACACAGATTTGTATTCCTAACACTATAGCGTTCCTTTAACTAGAGGTAATTTATCAGTGGTAAACAATGTATTTTTTTCATCAATGTACTTTGTAGAAACCATTGGAATGTACTACTACAATGTAATGTAATAATCCTAACATTCTTACAGGTTTCCGAGATTTAGGTGATTCTCCTTATGATGACATTGATGTTGATATGACTACCGAATTCCTTGACATGGAAAAATTGCTTACCGGTAAATATACAACTTTGTTATAAAATGTTCTCTTTGCTTTTTGTTGTAATGTCGGTGGATATCAAATCAAAAAATTTAATGAACACTCTTAGCCCCCTTTCCCCATCCCCCATTGTAAGAAGGCAGTTTTATAAATTATTTACTTGTTTCTTGGGTACCAATGGATGGCAATCGCCACTTTCTCTCATCAGCCAGGGGAGTCAGAGCTTCCTTTAGCCAGTGAGCTAAACCCTACCCTGCCAGGCTTAGCTGCAACCGAAAGCTTCCAACACTAATATAGGCCATAGTGGAGGTTGGAAGTGTTCATATTATACATTTTAGTTTAATGCTTAATTCATGTGTCAACGTAAATCAGGGCATGGGGACAAAGAGAGGATTACCTTTTATATTTCTAATTGAGCTACATCTTAAACGTTTCCCTTTTAGACGGTGGACGTATATTATAGCCCTCTGTGTGCTAGAAAGCGACAGATACAAAACTCCACAGTGATATTTAATGCAAGTAGATCTGTACCACACAAAACTATTGTTCATTCAAGAGTTAAAGGGACACTATAGTCAGCAATACAACTTTAACTTAATGAAGCAGATTTAGTGTATAGATCATGTTCCTGCAGTCTCACTGCTCAATTCTCTGCCATTTAGGAGTTAAATCACTTTTTTTATGCAGCCTATTCACACCTCCCTGCATGTGACTTACACCGCCTTTCTAAACACTTCCTGGATAGAGTTATCTAATTTTATACTTCCTGTATTGCAAATTCTGTTTAATATATAATTTATTTACTCCTGCTCTGTTAATAGCTTGCAAGAGCCTCCTGTATGTAATTAAAGTTCAATTTAGAGAGCAGATAATGCAACATTTTAATGCAAGTTACTATCTGATTGAAAGTGAAACCATTTTCTTTTCATATAGATTGTGTCAGTCACAGCCAGGGGAGGTGTGGCTAAGGCTGTATAGACAGAAACAAAAGTGATTTAACTCCTAAATTGCAGTGAATTGAGCAGTGACATTTCAGACACATGATCTATACACGAAAATTACTTCATTAAGTTGAAGTTGTTTTGGTGACTATAGTGTTCCTTTAAATACTCTTTAGGCATATCATATAAATAGCTATTAGGAGGCCACAAGAGACATTATATTGATTTTATTGTGTCTCATGAGAACATTTCTACATTATTAGCTGTATGCAGTCATAACTGTTTGTGTGTAACACTCGCTTTGCTACATTGTTTGTCTGTGATATATTTTTCTTTGTTGTTGTTTAGTCACACCTATCACTGTATCAGTATTGGTTCATTTATATTGATGATTTGGAATTATTATACTATCAGGTCCAGGTGTGGTCCAAACGCTGCATTAATCCATAGCTGCTTTGCTCCTTTTTATTTGTAAAGCTGATGGTTTCTTTATTTGGGTGGTTTTGTTATTTTTTTATAAAGGTGTTGTGTTCATAACCTTTCTTTTTAGTTTACTTAAATAAGGTTTTAAAATGTAATGAATTTTTAAAATAACCTCTAAAATACCTGAAATAATGTTATAGACTCCTGAAATAATGTTATAGACGTTATGTGAGATAATTCCATATTTTGAGATTGTAACTTTTTTCTATGTGTAGCATTTTCCTCGTTAAAACCAGCGCTCAATGAAAAAAAAATAGTTGATCATCTAAATAGTTTGTGGCAGTCATCTAAGATCCTTACCTGTTGCGATTAATTTAGATGGTTTGGATGAAACAAGTCAATATATGATTTTTCAGAGTCCTTTTAATTAAACATATTTTTTTTTTTTTTTTTGAGTGATGGGATAGAGCTGTTCCATAAAAGTTCCAGGAATTTACTACAGGGATTGGATGGGGTTAATAATCTATGGAGGAGAATTCAGACTGTCCCAGAGATAATGTATTCGTGGTAACAGAGTTAATTGTACAGAGTATGAAGAAATAAATGTGGAAGGAAACAGAGGAGATTTACAGGATTATCTTGGCATGCATGGGGATAAACAATGGGCATTGCAGTGGAAGTGGAAGAATAATGAGTAGGAGAGTGCTTAGGAAAAAAACAAGAAATAGGTGAAGGTGAAGAGAGATGAATTGGTAGGGTAGAGCACAGGGAAAACCTAAGAAGTAGAGGAAAGCATGGGAAAAATCCTAAGGCTTAGGGAAAGAAACCATGGGTTAGGGCAGAGCATGGGACAAGTAAGGGCATGGGTAAAAAAAAACAACCAAAACATGGGGTAGTGGAGGGCTAAATGACGGTTGTCAGTGGTATAAACAGTTGGAATTATTATAATACCCCAGACAGGCTCATTTAATATAAATCCTTGGTCTGAAGAAGAAGGGGCAACAGCCTCAGCAAAATAATTCTTCTCTACCAGATCAGGGCCTTCAAACTGATCAGGTCCACATTTCTGCTCTTCTCCTTATCTTCTGAGCTGTGTGGTCGAGCAGAGGCCTTAGTAAGTAAAATAACACCTCAGGTTTGTTGGTGAAAAACTGCTGGTTCCAGTGGCATGATATGTGAACCCATTAATGTACTGAACTCTATTCCACCAGATAGTTATTTTAATACATCCTCAGTACTCTGAAACCCACTGACTCTTAGTTAAGAGATGTGCTTGATCTCACTGTGTTTAAGAATGTAATTTTTCCCACAAAGGTATACGTCGTTAGTGACTAATAAACTCTGTATATTTTTTCCAAGGAAGTCATCACTATCTTTGATTTGGCAGAGCAGGTGACCATCAATTTGCCAGTTGGTGTGGGGAGTGACCTTGTACCTTCAATTGTGTGTTTTCTAAATGTAAATTTCACTAGATTCGTTATTATTACCCAATTTTTTGCGCAAATTATAATTACATTATTAAATCTTTGAAAAACGTTTGTAGTGTTTCCAGACTTTAAAGGATTGACAGCTGGATAAACCATTTTATTACTGAGGGTTACTGAACTAGATACACACACATCCCCTATCACCAGGGGCCAAAGACAAGTCTGCATAGAGTTAATGCTTTTTGTATTGATTGAGACACTGGCTAATTTTCAGTAACATGTTGTAATATGAATACATTTGTCAAAGAGATGCTTTGTTTGGAAGCTGACTTCTGCGTAATACACAGTTTAATCAAATGCTTTCCACGAGCCAACTGTTGAGCATGACATTTAATGAAAATACACAATGTTTTATGAGTAGTCAGTTGAAGAAAGAAAAAAAAAAGATTTAACATATAATAGTAAAAACTTCAATAATAGACAGAAAAAAAAAATTTGAATTCTAAAATTTGATTTTGTGCAGATTTCATTCAGTGTCTGTATTTAAACATCTGAACATTAAAATAAAAATACTTGATTGTTACAATGATATTAACAATGGCAGGAAAATTAGTTTAAATGTGAATCGTCAGGAATTCAAAGTGAATTTAAATGTTTAGTCCAAATAAACAAACTGACAATATGTTGCAAGCCAACTATATTTTTACTTGGCTATTTTAAACTAAAAAAAAAATAAAAAAATTTAATTTTCTTTGAATTCTAATAATCTAAACTTTAGTGAACATTGTGATGGCTCTTGTCATTTTCCTTACCCCATTAAAGGACAAGTCTCCATAATTATAAAGCTACATTTTCTTATACAAAAATAAATATGAACAAAATGTAGAATTTATGTTATTAGTCTTTATGTTATCGTCTTTAACCAAATATATACCATGAAAGCATTTTCCTCTCTTTCCATTCCACACTCTGTACAATCACCAAACATCGTAGCTGAAGTATTAGTCGTCTTGAGCAGATGTCAATAAAGTCGCTTATGTAAGATACAATTCACGCTCTATAGTCACTACGAGTTCTATATTCGAAAACCAATGCCTTTGTGTTAAACATATTAATGCAGGTTCTTTTGCGTCATGCTATTGATTGCACTAGTAAATTACATAAGGTCATTGTGAGATCCATTCTGCTCTAAAGTGTTATCATAAAAACAGATGGAGGGAGACAATAGCTGTGGGACACACCTAAATACATCAAAGAACATTACATTGAACAGAGAGTAGATAGCCTGCACATAGATTTCATCTATATAAATTTTATTAAAACGAACCTGTAATGAGAAATTGTACTCACTGTACAATCAGCTCTAAAAACATTGAATATATTAGAAAGACCCGATATATTGAATGTAAAATATCGGACTATCGAGATATACTTAGCTCACCTTTTTTTCCCAGTGCGGATATCTTCTGAAGTTCATAGGTGTTTCTCGTAGTGTAACACCCACCTCTGGTCCATCCGCGGGTCCTCCTACAGTGTTTTGTATTGCCCTGCCTGGGGATGCTAAGCTGGGCGGACCTCCTGTGTGACGCTTTTATTGCCAGCATGTCGGGTGGGAGAAAGACCTATATTTAAAAGTAAAATGATTTCATACTTACCATAATTTTCTTTTCCTGATCATTATACATGACAGTATTTACTAATGGGTTAGCTACTCCCCTCACAGCAGAAAGGACAGAAAACGGAACCCTGAGATTGGTATAAATAGACCCACCCCCTTCCCAATAGGCAGTCTTTGTAACAATTATAATTATTATTTTATTATTTATATACCGCCAGCAAATTCCGTAGCGCTGTACAATGGGTAGCTTCACAACTCTCAACGTAGGTGGGTGGGAACATAATACTGCCATTTATAATGATCAGGAAAATAAACTTACGGTAAGCAAGAAACAATATTCTAAATCAAAAAATTTAATAGCAAACCTGCTAGCATGTTGTATCGATAAAATGTTATGCTCTTTCAAAAGAGCATAAGTAGTTTGGTGCATAACAGGTACCCTTTAAAAATATAAAAATGCATGAAAAAGTAGTGCATGTGGTTGCCTAATCTATGGTTCTTAAAAGAACATTCCAAACACCATAACCACTTCTGTGCCCTGGGATCCACCCACACCCCCTTGTAGGTAGTCAAACTGTTAAGTAATGGTTTGGAATATTAACTTGTTTCTGCTGGTCAGACCTGTCCCCTGCCAGAAGTCTTTAGTGTTTATTTAATCATTTTGTAAGTGTGAAAATATAGGATGAAATATATTATGAAACCATGTTTTTCAATGTCTTCATATTAAATCATGACATGGGTCAGTGGTGGCTAATTCATAGAGGCACTTGGGGTGGTCCCACGGCAGAAATTTGTTGGTATAATAAAATTATTAAAAATAAATAATAATTGAAGTGGTAATGATATTGTTACTTTAGAGGGAGCTGTACTTGAAATCCTAATTAAATGGATGTATATGTGTAGTACTGCAATGCTATACTTTCCTCTTCCTACTTCTTCCACAGAACAGACCCATTAATAATACATAATGGTTTTCTGTAGAAACTGTTGAGAGTAACTAAGCATGTTTGGAATTTGTGAAAAACGCCCTGCCTGAGTATAGACTTTGGACATGCTCAGTCTGCTCTCTTAGATGATTTCTGAAATGACCCATCTGGTTTGCACTAGGTTGCCCGAGTCTAGATAACTATTTTTATAAAATGCTTACTAATTTACATAGGCTTAAAAGAGACTTGTGTCCATCAGGCCCAGCCTTTCTAAATTTCATTTTTTGCGTTTCTGTTGTGGTGAAAGAGATTGGAAGAGTAAATAGATATATTATTTATATGTTTGTCTATGTAAACATATTTTCTGTGATTAATATTTTATTAATTTAATATTTTAGCATGATTTTAATTATATTAATAATTAGACTAAGCAATTTCCTGTAAACAAAGGAATTGATCATTTGCTGTAGGGGTGGTGTCTACTACCGTACCATCTTAAGATTTTACCAGCTTCTATTGATATTGGTAAATCTCTTTCAGCTCAGGAAAAGAAGATTGAATCTACAAACGACTGTGTGCATCAAACTAACATGTGTAGTTTTAATGAAAAATGCAGCAAACACAAGAACGCTTACGTACTACAGTGCAGAGAAACAAACCACGGGGAAACCTGTGAGCGGCGGAAATGTCACCAGTTGCTGCGTCAGTTTTTCAAAAAAATTCCAGTGGAGTTTACAAAACGAATGCTTTTTTGCCAATGTCACGATAACAAGTGTGGAGAACGGAGGCGCAAAACAATAGTGCCGGAGTGTTCTTTCGAGGAGGCCTCCAAACCAAACTGCCTACAGCTACATTACTCCTGTATCAACGACAATCTTTGCAAGTAAGTTTTGAAGTACAGCTCTCTTTTCATAGGAAAGAAACTATAAAAAAATAGAATTTTAGGCACTAAACTACCTAAGAAATTGCATCTTCATCAAAGGGAAACTTCAGTAGACACAGTTATCCACCAAGGTATATAATGATACATGCCGTCATGGAAGGGTCATAAAAAGCAGGGGGAGAAAGAGATAATAATTAGCAACACTTTATGCTTTTCAGGTTTACCTCTGGTAAGCATAAAGATGGAATCGGGTTGGTTAAAAAATCTTTACATATATCTTTTTTTACATTAAAAATAAATACATCTTTATGATGTGGAATACTGCAAGATCGTCAGCAACGTCAAGTCATGCACATATTGTGGTAATAAACAATATCACATATTCAGTCATTACAAAAATATTTTGTGTGCGAGAATATAAAAACATAGCAGTTAAGGGAAAATGACGCCTCAGAGGGGATATGATAAAATTATATAAATATATTCAAGGCCAGTACAAACCATTATTTGGAAATCTATTCATAAACAGGGTTATACATAGGACACAAGGTCACACATTTAAGCTGGAAGAAAAGAGATTTCATCTAAGGCAAAGAAAAGGTTTTTTTTTACAGTAACAGTGATAGGGATATGGAATTCTCTGTCTGAAAATTTGGGTTTTATCAGAGTCCATACAGATGTTTAAAGAGCAATTGGATAAATACTTGCAAAAATAGAAAATTCAGAGATATAATTTCTAATTAGTGGGGTTTAGCTGCTTGATCCAAGGAGATATCTGACTGCCATTTTGGGTTTTGGAAGGAATTTTTTCCTAGTTTGTTGCAAAATTGGAAGCGCTTCAGACTGTTTGGGTTTTTTTGCCTTCTTTTGGATCAACAGCAAAAACATATGTGAGGAAGGCTGAACTTGATGGACGCAAGTCTCTTTTCAGCTATGTAACTATGTAAGACCAGTAAGTGAATGTACAATCTCCGGTATCTGTCGAGATCTGCTTAGTACATGGGAGTAATGCAAGGTTTATTTACGAGAACAAACCATAATAGTGCACAATTATGTAAAAAGAGGAGCTAGACTGGCTAATACCGTCATGCAAGTGTTGCTTTATTTCTCAAAGCCATCATATACTGCTCTCCATAATGCGTTGAGCTCATTACCTTCAGCACTTATACAATGATACTAGCAGATAATGCGTGTTGTGGCAACACACAAGCTGCATTTAGCGCTGAAAGTGGAAATAGAAACTTTGGCAACAACTTAAACAGATTAAATGTCCATTAATAAGTGAATTCCCTTGTCTGTCTCACTGGCTACAGAAACAGTATTCACTGAAAATGTGCTCTGACTACATAGCCTGGGTGCAGGGCCGGTGCAAGGATTTTTGCTGCCCTGCATTCAAATTTGCCACCCCATTTACTCCAGGCTTGAATCTATGTAGGGACAGAGACACTACAGTATTCGGAATACTGGTTTATATTCCTAAAACTATAGTGTTCCTTTAAAAGTATTGATTTAAAAAAAAAAATTAAAACGGTCCTTTGTGTACAAAAGCAGTCACTGATACACACATACACACATTCACGCACACACATTCACTAACTGACACTCAATGGTCCAATCACAATAAGTGACCAATGCACACACAATTTCACTGACTCGTGCAGAGTAACAGACACACACTGGCCCAAGCAGATATACACTGACTTATGTAGACTGACACATACACTGGCCCAAGCAGACACATACACAAACACTGGACCAAGCAGACACACACAGTCACTCATGCAGATGGACACACACTGACCCAAGCAGACACATACACACACGGACCCAAGCAGACCCACACAGTAACCCAAACAGAGACACACACAAACACTGACCCAAGCATACACACACACACTGACTCAAACAGACACACTGACCTAAGCAGACACACACACACACTGATCCAAGCAGACACACACAGACTGATCCAAACTTACACTGACCCAAGCACACACATGCTAATCCAAGGAGACACACAGATACAGACCCAAGCAGACACTCACACACTGACTCAAGCACACATACTGTTCAAAGCAGACACACAAACACTGCCTCAAACAGACAGACACACGCACTGACCTAAGCATACACATACACACACTGATCCAGACACACACACACTGACCCAAGCAGACATACACTGACCCAAGCATACACACACACACTGACTCAAACAGACTGACACACATTCTTTAAAACACACACACTATTAAGTCCCCCTCTTGCCTTCACTTCACAATGACTCAGTCTCTCCATGTGTCCCAGGCTTCTGGACTGCGCCTGGCTGCCTCCACTCTCTCAGATTCGCCCCCACTATCCTCCCACCCACTTGACCCCGAGTGCAGGGGAAGTGGCGGGAGCAATTGAACGATACATCCGTGCGTTGCCTTCATGAGAGATGTGTGGGGGGCGGGGACGGCTCTGTGAACTTTGCAGTCTGAGGTTGATGGCACCGGGTGCTAGTCTGCAGCTATGTAAGTGCTCCCTGTGGCGAAACCAACCTCGCCACTGTGAACTGGAGAAGCCTGGTTGCTCGCCTGCTCCATTTGGACTATGGCCCTGCAGGTTAAACTGTTTATTTCCCCTGCAGAAAGGCTTATTTGTGTGATCTGAGTGCCATTCATCTAATAATGTGCACTCAGATCCCAGCTATCTGGGGATATGTGAAATGTCTGTGTGTTATGTGTAAATGTGACTTTATGTATTCTAAAGTGTTTTGTGTCTTTTTGCAACCATGTGCTTAATGGAGTCTTGTGTCTGTCCTGGGAGATAATTGAATTACTTATCTCCAGGATAGAAGACTCTGAAACTGGTTTGGGCCAGAAAGCCATGCTTCATTTAGTCACAAAGGACTTTTTACTAACTTTTGAACCCCTTGTCTGATTTGTGCCATTTTTGAATATGTTGTTCCCCTGAATGGATTGATTGTGAATATGTAATTTTATGTGAATGTGATGTATGGTTTTGGAGTTATGAAAGTTGGGTAGAAAGTATGTTTTAACTGTATGTATAATTGAGTTTCCTCTCAGGATAAGGGGAGGGAATATGTGGGATGTAACTGTGAGGTGATTGGTTGTTTTGTAACGCCCTGTGGGCTGTACTATGTTTGTGGATTGGGAATAAAAGAGACTGTATGTGACAGTACAGGGAGTTCCTGTTTTAACCCTCAAAGTGAAGTGTCGTCTCATTATTGGGGGAAGGATTTATTGTATGCTGTTCCAGTTTGACTGCTAGGAGAGTAAACCTATTCGTATGGTTCCTATTCAACTGTCTACAGCATTCATATGCTTGAGAGAAGGTATACGCTTCTCTGGTTCGGTGATTGTGGTGTCGGCTGCAGTGCTTGGAGTCCTCAGGAAGCGCTAGGAGCATCCTTTAACGGAGGTACCCAGTCGGGGTGCCAGGCGATCCGTTACACTCCCCAGTGCCCAGTGCCATTACCCGAGGCATGAACTACAGACTTTGTCCCACATAGAGGGGGGGCGGCCCAAGTCAGCAGTAAAAATGCTGCTGGTGCTCCACCCTTGAGAAGCGCCCTATTCGGCTGCCTAATCAGCCTATTGGACGCGACTGCCCTGCCTGGGTGTTACAGCTTTGCTAAACGTGACTACAACAAGAGCAAGAGGTAGGTGGGCATATTCTCAGTGGAAGCCAGGACTCTGATGTAGTTGGTGAGATAGAAGAAGGATGGGCAGGTAAGAGGTTAATTTACTGAATTAAAAACTTTCCAACCTTTTTTTTAAACACTCGGACCCTTAGAAGGTGCATTGCTCATAGGAATCATTAAGCAGTTACTAGTGTGAACTGTGATAGGTAACCTTTGCCAGTCCAAAAAAAATCTATGCCAGCCCCATAAGTCATAGCGCAATATATTGTCGCATGTAATATGTAAGGCTATGTCTTGCCACCCTAGATGACTGATATATATATTTATATATATATATTATTATTATATATATTGCTTTTTCCAATATAAAATATTGGTCCTTTTAGAGTAAAATTTTTAATTATACAGTAAGCACATGCAGACACAGACAATCTCACTGACACAAGCGGATTGATATATAGCCTCATAGACAAACAATCTCACTGATATACATAAGGTCATTGACATAAAAACACAAGCTCACTCACTAGCAGGCACACACACACACATGCAAGCAAGCCCACTCACTAGCAGGCGCGCGCCCACACACACAGCTTAATGTAGTGGTTCTGGTGTCTATAGCCTGTCCCTGCAGGCTTTTCAATGTAAACACTGACTTTTTAGAGAAAAGGCAATGTTTACATTGCTTCCTAGTGACAGACACTCAGACGGTCACTAGAGGTGCTTCCTGTGTCAGTGTGGATTGGCTGAGATCATCAAGCTTGATGATCTCAGCCATAGAGGCAGGGCCAGTCGAGGGGAGACCAGCACGACGTGGGGAAAAAAAAAGGTGAGTAAAAACACACATACCATGACACAGACAGACCGTGACACAGACACACCATGACAGACAGACACACACAATATGACACAGACAAGACACACATACCATGACAGACGCACACACATACCATGACAGACACACACCTTAAAAAAGACCCACACACAGACCTTGACACACACACACCATAACACAAACAGACCGTGACAGTCACACCCACACCGTGACACAGACACAGATTACATGACACAGACAGACACACACAGACCACGACACAGAGAGACCGTGACACAGACACACACACCGTGACACAGACAGACACACATTACATGACACAGACAGACACACACACACCATGACATACAGACACACACACAACATGACAAACACACATAATATGACACAGACAGACCGTGACATAGACAGACACACATTACATGACAGACACACACACACAATGACACAGACACACATTGCATGACACAGACAGACACACACACCATAACACAGACAGACACACACACCATGACAGACAGAGACACACACACCATGACACAGACAGAAACACAGACACACCATGACAGACAGACACACACACCATGACACAGACAGACACACACACACACACCATGACAGACAGAGACACACACACACAATGACACACACACACACACCACGACACAGACACATACACTCACACTGACACACATAATTGCTACCTGTGTGCTGGCGGCCGCAGGGGGAGCCAGTCTGATAGTGGCCGCATGGGGGAGCTGGCTGTTCTGTCTCTGCTCCCCCGCCCCAGCGCGCAGCTTAATGAGACCGGGGCCGGAATATGATGTCATATTCCGGCCCCGGTCTCTTTGTAGCGCGTGAGGGCGGGGGAGCAGAGACAGAACAGCCAGCTCCCCCTGTGGCCGCCAAAAAAGGTCCCTCTGCTGCCGCAGGTCAGCCAGCTGCCTGCCTGGCCCCAGGTGCCGACGGCCCACCGGGAAATTTCCCGGTATCCCGGTGGGCCAGTCCGGCCCTGGTGACAGGGCATCACGGAATTGTAATACATAGCAGATACAGTAACAAAGTTTGCCTATAATGTCTGTGAATTAAGGACATTAAAGGGACACTATAGTCACCAGAAACACTACAGTTTAATGATGTTGTTCTGGTGTCTATAGACTGTCCCTGCAGGCTAATCAATATAAATTGAGAAAAGGCAGTGTTTACATTGCTGCATCGTAACACCTCTAGTGGCAGCACACTATAGGTGGTTCCTATTCCGCAGCACCTACGTTCAGCGTCTCCACGCTGCATGGAGGCGCTGAATGCTCCCCATAGAGATGCACTGATTCAATGCATCTGTGAGGAGATGCTGATTGGTGCAGCATGGTGTTTTGCCATGAATGCACAATAACCTCCCAATGTTTTCCTATAGAAAAGCATTAAATTGGATGAGATCATCAAGATCGATGATCTCAGCTATAGAGGCAGGGCCAGCTGTGACGAGACAACAAGGCGAGTGAGAAGAGGTGCGTAAACTCATCTTTTAACTCCAGAGAGGGGGAGGGGAGGGGACAGACACCTACAGCCACTTCAGCACTATAGTGTTAGGAATACATGTTTGTGTCCCTAACGCTATAGTGTTCCTATAGCATTGGATATTTGCTTAGAGGGACTCTTTTTCCAGATGCAAGACAATAATGCACATTTTTTTGTAAACCCTCACATTCCTGGCCCACAAACTCATTTAACTTATTTACATATTTAGGTTAAAAGGTGTCTCTTTTCCTGTAATTATATATTCAGTGTCAGATTTTGACACCCTAAAAATAAAAAAAAATAAAAAACATTTAATTATATATATTTTCCTCTTTGAAAATGCTTCCTTCTTTTAAAAATTGTTTTAGATCACGTTTGGCAGATTTCCAGAAACATTGCCACCCATTTGATAAAAGGACAACAAGCTGCCCCAGTGATGATTTGTGCTTACAAGCTTACATAAGGATGATTGGTACGTTGCCTTTGATATTCTAAGGTTATACGGGAAAAAAACAATCTGTGAATAGCTTTAAAAAATGTGTTTTTAATGTTAATGCTCCATTAGAAGATATATCATATCTATTCAGTTGTCAGTAAACTACTTTCCCTTTATGGCTTGTTAAATTATTGGTTGACATAATGACTTTCTAATGTAAATTTTTTTGTAACATATACATATTGTAGATGATATCATCAGATCATCGGATGATGATTCACTTTCATTTTTATTCTGTAATTCTTGTGTTTCTGTAGCTCTCTTTGTTGTATGTCTGAGGCAAGCTTATGCCTTGTCTGTGATTATTCCTTACCTCCGCCATCCGAATTTTGGCTTGCTCCCTTATTTCCGTTTTAATATCTTCTCTACTTCTCTTTTCACCACTTTTGGGGTTAAATTGATAACACCAGTCATTTTTAATTCTTCTAATGCGTCTTCCTGTTTCCTTCTGTGTACTATGTCTATTGCAAGGGGTCCACTTTTGTCGAGGAGACAATGATAGTTATTTCCTTAATACTTACCAAAATTGGTTTAATATTTGACTTTGCAGAGAACTTACTCAGACTGCAAGAAAAGTGAATGTGTATATATATTCATGTGTACATATGTTTATTAAAACAAAAGAAAAATGCAATCATGTATTTATTATTTGTTTCAATTGTAAAGTCAAGTGCACCGCTTTTATCCAATAAATGTGACTATACGACCAAATCTAGTACAGAAAAGTCCAGATGAGAATGCACACACTAAAGCTAAGGTTAACAGCAACACTCAGGAAGGAAATCCCCAGCTGGCCTGCCATCAGAATTTTGGGGCTCCTTACACAGTTCAAGGCCTGGGCCCCAGGGTCTCTCTCCCGAGTCCCCCCACAGTTCCAACCGTGTCCGCCCACAATGATATGTAAGGTGGATGAAGTGGATATGTAAAGTGTGTGTGTGTATATAGTGGATGCAGTGTGTGTATTTGTATTAGTTTGTGGTGTTGGATAGGGGCTATGGGGTGGTAAGAAGTTTTTCTTTTTTTTTTTAATTTATAATAACACAGCTCAAGGCCTAGGTCTCCTCTTCCCGCCCCTCCCAGATATTCTAGATTCCTTTATTGCACATTCTGTTTAATTTAGAATGTCTTATCTCCTGCTCTGTTAATAGCCTTCTGGACACTGCAGGAGCCTACTGTGCGTGATTAAAGGTTAATTTACAGAGCCGGTAACAAAAACTAAGTAACAAAAAGTAAGTGATCATCTGATTGAAAATTAAATAATTTTTTCATGCAGGCTAAATCACAATTTGGGGAGGTGTGGTTAGAGCTGCATAAACAGAAACAAAAGTGATTTAACTCCTAAATGGCAGAGAATCGAGGAGGGAGACCACATGGGGCATGATCTATACACAAACTGCTTCATTTAATGTTACCAATCAAATTGCATCTAATTAGTTACCTCCTGCAGTGATGTTGAAAATGTGTTATTCGCTAGATGTCAGCTTTGCTTCTTTATTTCCAATAGGTACCATAATGACCCCAAATTTTATCACCAACTCAAGCATGGCTTTGTCTCTTTGGTGTACTTGTGAAAGCAGTGGGAACCAGAATGATGACTGCAAGGCAATCAACGGAATGTTCGCGGGCAGCACGTGTCTCAGTAAGTCATCACTCATGTCTCACTAATAGTTACTCAGGGTTCTGCCTTAATATGTTGTGTTATACTTAGAATTTATTGAGCTGAACTGCCAGTGACTCAGGTCAGTAACATATTTATAAGATATTTTTAAACTTTATCTAAATTTTCTGTATTTTATGGTGTAATAATAATACAAATACAAACCAAAGGCATAGTGGAAAAGTAGAGTACAAAACCTCAAAGCCATAACAGAGGGAGCATAATGCAATCTACAAAACCCACAATAGACAGCAAGCCACGGTGACCATTCCCAAACATCACAGATAAAATGAAGTTAGAGAGTATATTACCACTGCCTGACGGATGTTCATTGCTCACTCCAAGAGAACCTTTTCCAATGTGAGTTTATGATCCCAGCTGATAAGCATGGGAATCATTACCAAGTAGCCAATCAGGAGACAGAAGGTTCCATCTTTGATGCTGTGTTATCATTTGGCTGTGACCTGATGAGAACAACTATATAAATTGATAAAATTATCATTATGTAGCAGGACAAAGTTTATAGTTACACATAGTACAGGTAGCATTCTCTCTTGTTTCCTAAAAATATTAAATCGGCTTAATTTAATTATGGGAATAAAGTTAAATAAATTGCTTGAAGGGTTAACACGTGATATTGGTAGGGTATAATTAGGAATGAGCAGAACATGTGTAAACTGGGGCAGGCCACAAGAAACTAGACACTCTTAATGTTGATAGGTAGGATGGATGGATTTAGATAAAGTATTTGTTTATTTCAGTTTGATGTTATCATTCTTGTGATTTATAGCAAGCGCTGCGTAAATTTATTAACAGGAATAATTCCATTTATATTGATTGATCAACTCAAGTTTGTTTTGCACTTTTTCTGTTTGCAAACTTTTTCTGGAGCACTAGGTAGGAAGAAACATTATCACAACATTTTATAGGTTACGTATGCGATACAACAGTGTACTAACCAATCTCTAAGAAATGTAGTAAGTGCTAACATAACAATTCTTATTCCCTCAGGAAATTTGATCAAGTCTGAGTTTGGAGGGAATATTGAATTGGATACAACGTTGACAATTTCCAGGATTGAACATACAGACGATACAAATTTCTCAGCCCTCTCTAGAACTAATAAGGCACGTGGTAAAATGATTGCAATATTTACACTTCTACCTCTATGACATGGCTATGTAACACTTTCTATTAAACTATAACTCTTTTGATTCTCAGTCTTCAACCATATACTGGTTGAAGATCATGGAAGACATAGCAAAATGTCCAGTCTTGTTAGGTTGCTCATATCTGAGATTAGGGAATGGACCAAGTGATGAAGGCTGTGCTAAAGGAGGTAATAGGAGTTAAAGGCGGGTATGAGAGAAAGAGTTTGGACCTGCTTATGAAGAACAAATACAGGAGTCAGGCAAGTGTAATAGAGAATGGAAATTCTGCACTGAAAATATCGGACAAATTTTGTCAGAAAAAATAAATAAATTAAAAAAAATTGACTAATGGATGAAATTTGATTTGGACAAAACAATTTGTCGATTAAATTAATTTGGACAAACTGAAAATTTCCACAGTGCACATGTCTGTCTACCTTACACTAACAGAGACATTGGAATATGTCACGAAATATCCTTTTCTTTCTACCCATTAAAAGCATGCTGCTGATGCTGTCCAGGATGCCAAAGAAAGCATAGATGGAAATAAACTCTTGCTGCACATTCAGATATACATTGCAGCCCCACCACACTACCTAATAGATGGATGTGAAGCAAAGTTCTGTTCTACAGCACTCACTTGTCACAGTTTTCTTAAATAACCTGGCAGAGGACTATACTACTAATCTTTTGTTTTATAATTGGTTCTTTACTTTGAAGAGCAGCTGTCTGTGGTAACCCCCCTCCCCCCTCCTCCCCCTCCCTGCCCGCACCCCCCCTCCCCCATTCTTCACCAATTGTAGAGATCTGGGTACCCATGATTTGAAGCAGAGGATACCCAATGTTATGAATTCAGTGACTATTGACTTTTGTAAGTACATTCTTATATGCTATTTTAGTATAAATGCTAAATTTTAATTTAGTCCTGGAGGCTCAGTGTCATGAATTAATTGTATGCATTATATTTTGTCCCATCCGAAATAAAATTCATTGTATTTCATTATTATGTCCAATTCTATGTTTTTTACAGGTTAGTGAAAAGAATCAGCTGCCAAATAACTCAGAAAATCAAGAGAAAGACATTCCTAACCAACCCAGTGGTACGGGGACCAGCGTATCATTCTCAGCTTTGGCTTTAACACTCTTTAGTTCCGCATCGCTCTGGATCTTAGATATGGTGTTCTTCATTTAAGCCAGAAATATAAAGTGCTTACCCTGAAATGCCACTATCACACACAATTCAGAGATTTGTGGTTTCATCTGGTTTACAGGAAACTGTACATTTAATTCTATAGGCCCACTGCACTGTACATGTACAAATGTATCCCTAAGACTTGGAGAGACTGACTGCAAGGCCAAAGGGAAGATCCACGGATATTCAGAAAAATTGGACTATGATATCATACATGGTTAAATGTCGATATGGATTTTTTCCTGAGCTTTTGGAATATGAGACTATATTTATGTGCAGTGGGTTTGCAGACTGAACTCAATATACGGGAGTTAGGATGTAGCTATTGGTGAGTTACATAAGAGATAAACAGATATATTTTGGAGCTAAATGTGTCATTCCATTCAATGGACTAAGGTCATGGTGAGTTAATATGCCAAACATCAGAAAATGCTCACTTATTTCTTCTTAGCCAAACTCGGATGGCTGTTTGATGCCAAATTTGAAGACAGTAGTACATCTAATGTCTGCTGTAAAAGCACTGTTGCTAACAAGATCATGCTTTAACATTGTATCTGTTCATAGCAACCAGAAAAAAATATGATTATTATGCTTGTTGGATATTCTCATTAAAGAATAAACAAAAAAAAAACCTTTAAAAATAGTTTTCTCTTCTGTGGTGCAGTCATATAAGGTAAAATATAAATATTTCAGTTTGTCCAATATAATAAAGTAAAAAATACCGCATTTAAAGAAAAACTATTCCAAATGCCAACACGCTTGCCGGTTCAGCATAAATAGTCATCTTTGTATTATTTAAAGATCAGTGTCATTCACATGTATATATCACTTATCATCTTGGACAGCTGATTTAGTGGGAATCTATCATTCATGGAACACTCCTAGATATTGCCTTTATCGTTATGGCAATGGCATGACAATGGTATAGAATTAAAGTCCAAAAAGGTAAAAAAAAAAATGAAATGTTAAATAGCTTTTAAAGCGCACCTGTCATCACATTACAACTTAATCTCACATTATAGAGAATTACATTTCATCTATACATTGTGTTAGCAGCAGAGTTGCTAGCAAATGTCTAAATTTCTCTAAAATATGAGGTTGAAAAACAGCCTTTCCCCCTTAACTTTTACCAGGGAAACCCTCCTAATCTCTGTCTGGAAGGGGAAATAGGGGGTAGGTGCAGGCTCTGTGTCAGAGCAGCACCTGCAGCAGTATGAAGAGTGGCGAGAAACAGCCAGAATGATTTATTGCAGTGGATTTTGACAGGCAATCTGAAAATGGAGAGAGAGGGAATGGATAAGTTTATTTATCTAAAGCCAGCATAAATTGTTGGGGGCTTTTAACCTTTTAAACAGGTATGTGCTTCCCAAACAGGGGTATACAGGTGTCTTACTGAAACATGATTGATGGTCTCGGCAGGAGACAGGAGTACACAGGTAATGGAAATAAAATAAAATATGACAATTTAACAGTGATAGGGGAAGAAACACTTATTTGTAAAACATGATCCAGGCCAAATGATTAGAAAACTGCTAACTTATCTGTCATTAGAGGTTCAGGTTAATGTAGCAAATTGATTAGCATAATGCATAGAAATTGTATTCTGATCAGCCACAACATTAAAACCACTGACAAGTGATGTGAATAACATTGATTATATCGTTACAGTGGCACCTGTCAAGGGGGGAATATATTAGGCAGCAAGTGAACTGTCAGTTCTTGAATTTCATGTGTTGGAAGCAGGAAAAATGGGCAAGCGACAAGATCTGCGTGACTTCAACAAGGGCCAAATAGTGATGGCTAGACGACTGGGTCAGAGCATTTCCAAAATGGCAAATGTTGTGGTGTGCACAAAAGTTACAAGTAAAAGTATGGCGCTAAATATTTGAAAAATGAATATATACAGTAATAAACAGTGAAAAGGCTGCACTCTATAATGTAAAAAATGCCCAAAATACATACACAATCCAAAAACTAAAATAATACAGTGTGCTGTGCCTTTAAGATTATTTAACTAATCAAAATTATAAAAGTGCTAATATATAAACCTTTGAAGTTTACATACAAATGTGTAATGCAATAACAAATGTGAAGAAACCAGGGTCAGATCCAAAACCTAATCTCAGGAGGGGCACTGGTAGAACTTTTAAAGGTACAGTACAGGCACAATAACCACTTTAGCACTCTGTAGTGGTTATGGTGCCCTCCCAGAGTAAGTAGCCAAACTATTTCAGAACAGTTTGACAACTTACCTGGGGTCTTCCGATATAGGGCCTGTAGTAGGGTATGGGGGAAGTAGTTGTGGCTTAGGAGGTGTAGTATAGTGAGGGTTGCAGTGTGTATGTTTGAGGGGTGCCACATGTGTGTGTGAAGGGTGCATGGTGTGTGTGTGTGTGTGTGAGGGGTATATTTTTTTAAATGCCCCCGTTTCTTACCTGCTTCCAGGGAGGGTGAACAACATATTCCCTGGTGGTCCGGTGGCATTGTATTCCCTGGTGCTCTATGAGGTCTCAGCCTTCACCTCTGTGGCTCCACCGGGTGAAGGCACATCCCGCGACTCCTGGCACCACGTGGAATTGAGCGTTGCGGTGGTAACCATGGCAACTCTATGGAACACGAGGAGTCGGCGGCAGATGTAAATGAGAAGAATGAGAGCCTCCTGTCCCCCTTCCTGCTGCTGCACAGCTCTGCAAAGACCCAGTGAGAGAAATATTTGATCTCCCTCACTGGGTCTGTGTGTATGTAAGAGAAACGAGTTCGCTGGGCCCCTTACAAATGAAATCGTTTGGTGGCATATTTTCTCAGAGGGGAGCAATTGCCCCGTTGCCCCCCCTGGATCCGCCACTGGAGGAAACAAGTAAGAGCACTATAGTGCACTGTGCAAAAACATACTATTATGTGCAAGTGCAAAAAAACTGAAGTGATACCACAAAATTGTGCAAAAAAGCAATCGAACACTATACTCACACAAGAATATTCCACTTATACTGCCGTCATTTCTCAATGCAAAAGAAAACAGAGAAAGCTCATAGGGAAAAATGCATGTAAAAAATAATATTTATAATGATATTTGGACACACTCACAAGTGGAGAGCAGTAAAGTTGACTCTAAACTATAGTAGCTTCATAAAGTACATGAAGACAGGAGACTGTGATGTAAATAAATAACTTTAATTCACAAACTGTTAAAACACGCACGCAGGTAGGCAAGATCTCTCTGTAGCCACTCCGGATAAGCTCCCCACTGGCCCTTTCATCATTCACTTGCTGTACAAGACTTCAGGAACCGGGTAACACTGTCTTTCTTCCGGGAGGCGGGGCTTACGGCCATGGAGGGTGATGACTTCAGAGCATGATGACGCGTTTTGCCGAAATGCTTGGCTGCATTAGATCCCTATTATTTTTTAAATGCAGAAATTATGGCAGCCTAAGTTGAATACTCTTGTGTGAGTATAGTGTTCAGTTGCTTTTTTTGCACAATTTTGTGGTATCACCATTTGTTTTTGCACTAATTTACACAGAAAAGTGTGTTTTTGCACAGTGCACTTTATTGCTCTTATTTATTTCTTCAAGAAGGTCCCCCCTCCCATACAAAGATAAGAAGGGAGGGGGGACATATATATAATAATAATAAAACAAATAATTATAAAAAATACACATACATATCTTTTATTTTTACCCCACAGCACCCCAAACATTACACTACACCCCAACCACCCCACTACACCCCTTACACACACACACTACACACCAAATATCACACTACAACCCTCACACACATAGGCGTGCGCAGCCTATTGCATTAGGGTGTGCACCCTAAAGCACAAACACACGCCACGTGTTTGTGTGTGTTGGTGTATATATCTATATATAGATATATACACACACACACACTGCTGTGTGTGCTGTTAGTGTGCTGTTAGTGTGATGTGTGTGTGAGGGTGCTGTTAGTGTGATGTGAGTGTGCTGTTAGTGTGATGTGAGGGTGTGTGTGTGTGTGTTTGTGACTGTGCTGTTTGTGTGTGTATGTTTGTCCTGTGAGGGTGCTGTTTGTGTGAGTGTCGTGTATTTGTGATGGTGCTGTTTGTGTGTGTGTGTTTGTGGGGGTGCTGTTAGTGTGCTGTGTGTGAGGGTGTTGCATTTTTTGAAAGGTGCTGTGTGTGTTTGTGAGGGTGCGGTTAGTGTACTGTGTGTGAGCTGTATGTGTGTAGGTGCTGTATGCGTGTGTGCTGTATGTTTGGAGGGATTTGGCAGATTAGTAAATCCTTGCTGCCATGTGCCATCCCTGGTGGTCCAGTGGAGAGTGAACTCTAGCCTGCAGGGCTAGAGTTAACTCTCGCGAGATTTAAACGTTGCCGCAGCAACACTCAGATATCGCGAGAGGAACCTGGCGGAGCTTCTGTCTAGAGCTCCCTGGGTCCTCTCCTGCCTCCCTCCATGCTGCTGTGGGCCGGTGAGGTAGATCTTTGGTCTCCCCGCCGGCCCATGGAGGCTTAGAGCAGAGCCGGCACTCAGATAGCGCCGGCTCTGCGTGTGTGTGTGTGTGTGTGTATATATGTATATGTATGTGTGTGTATATGTATATATATATATATATATATGTACACACACATACATTCACAGACACACACTCACACACACACTCACTGACACAGACACTCACACACAGACACACACTCACTGACACACACAGACACTCACAGACACACACACACACACTGACACACACACACATACATTCACAGACACACACACAGACACACACACACATACATTCACAGACACACACTCACTGACACACACACAGACACTCACACACACTCACTGACACACTCACACACACAGACACACACACACACTCACTGACACACACACAGACACTCACACACACTCACTGACACACTCACACACACAGACACACACACAAGAACAAATTATTATATTTTAATTTTAAAAAAATGTCCACCCAGCCTCCTACCTGGAGTGCTGGTGGACTTGTCCCTGGGGTCCAGTGTGGCGGGCGCCTCTCTCCATCTCAGCCGCGGCGAGGGAGCTCTCTGCTCTCTGCTCCCTCTCGCCGCGCGGGCTGTCCGCTGTAGCTGGGAGCCGGAATATGACGTCATATTCCATCTCCCGGCATCAGCGCGCACACTGACACACACACACATACATTCACAGACACACACACAGACACACACACACATACATTCACAGACACACACTCACTGACACACACACAGACACTCACACACACTCACTGACACACTCACACACACAGACACACACACACACTCACTGACACACACACAGACACTCACACACACTCACTGACACACTCACACACACAGACACACACACAAGAACAAATTATTATATTTTAATTTTTAAAAAATGTCCACCCAGCCTCCTACCTGGAGTGCTGGTGGACTTGTCCCTGGGGTCCAGTGTGGCGGGCGCCTCTCTCCATCTCAGCCGCGGCGAGGGAGCTCTCTGCTCTCTGCTCTCAGCTCCCTCTCGCCGCGCGGGCTGTCCGCTGTAGCTGGGAGCCGGAATATGACGTCATATTCCATCTCCCGGCATCAGCGCGCGGCGAGAGAGAGCAGAGCGCAGACAGCAGAGAGCTCCCTCGCCGCGGCTGAGC